GATACAGGTACTAATGTATCCGGTCACATACTCAGCATAATCCTGTACGCTGACAGAAAAGTCCTCTGAGGTGGCTGCAGCTTTAAACACATCTTAGTCTGTCCGGGCGAAACAGTCTCTGCCTTTAGTCTCTAGTGTCCAGAGTTTAATTTGTTTGGTGACAGGGTTTGTTTGTTTACATGAATGAGACTATAAATACCAACATAATCAGGCTAGTACATTGTGGAAATGTGTAACAGTAAAGAGCATGCTATATGATAGATAGATAGATTGGCTTTAATGGCCAAGCATGTTTTGCATACCACAAATTTGTCTCCAGTACAGGGGCTCTCTGTGTATTTTAGACAACAAACAGTGGTGCTGTGCAATGGGGGGTTCCACAAGAATTACATACATAGTATTAGCTATCAGACTGGTGTATGTAGCACAAATATTGAAATTGTTTTTGACCATTCATGAGGTCTACCCACAGTGCTTTTCTCAAACCATACAATACATTCACAGAAAAGCCACTTTCTAACTAAACTTTATCAATTAATTATCAACTATCAGTTTATCAATTTTATTTTATTAAATTTCCTTGGCTCTACAGCCAACTCAGACTACTTTGAGTTTCACGTTCACTCTCTGTAGACCCGAGGAAAAAATCACTAAATCCATATGCTACATCAAAATGGGATTTCTTCCTGATAAACATACATGTACATGCATACATACAAGTATTTTTGTCCAGTCCATATATGCTGTCTGCTGACCTGGTGAGGACTCTCTCTTCTGCCACTGTTCTGCTGACAGACAGCTGGTCTGATGACAAAAACAGAATGTGCTGCTCAGGTCTTGCTTGCAGTGTGGATTCTGTTAAGCTAAATTACCTGTCCAGCAGAAATCAGACATCTTCAGCTTCATTCTGCAAACATTTGTCCATCATCAAGAATTTCCATCTGCCAAAGGCCACAGCAATGTGTATTCTTGTCTTGTGCCATTACCTATCCTGTTTCTTCTGTGCTTCTTTGGCAACAAGGATTCATGCTATCTTCCTTTATCTTGTGCTAAAATATAACTATGATCCTCAATGTCCATTCTGGGCTACTGTAAAAAAAATATGGCAGCTCAACACAGCAGCCTCTGTGATCCAATGTACATATAAACGGCTCATTCTAAGATAATGAAAACACAATTCTACACATTAATTAAAACAATTATGCATACTAACATTTCTATGAGTGAATCTATATCTTACACACTGCACCTTTAAATAACTGAGAAAAAGTCAGTTTTACAGTTACACAGAAGTTTATCTTTGAATTACTGTATGTACTGAGTTATGCTACAGTAAATTATCAATCAACGAGAATTATTTGCTTTGCTTTATTGAGTTTTAAGCTCTCAGAACACATACAATTCAGGCATGACAGCCTCTACAATGTCATAGTATTATTAAGTCTTTTCTAACAACAATTCTCCTTAAGTTTTCAGGCGGTAAACACAATCACAAATTTATCACATCAACAATGAAACTTTTATTAAAACCCTCCACTTACAGTTAATTTCCCAATGTATGGTTAATAGACTTTCTATGTCTATGGTAGATTATTTCTTTCTGTTTGCCTTTCAGACAAGAAAAATAAAATACTAATCTTAGACATGGAATAACATGACATACAGAGAGTAACATAAAACTATACTGATGGGTAATATGTTTATTTTGTACATTGAGTAATGAGGAAAGTAATGTTATTACTATCATTAATAAGTGTTTTCTAACAACAATTCTTAAGTTTTCAGCCGAGTCCATAGTCAACCACACACCCATGATACTTCGTGGACCTTACCCATCCCTCCCTGAGCAGTTCTCACCAGAGCTTTGCATACTCTTGGATGACATTTTCAGTAGAGACCCTGAGTCAAGACCAACAGCCAGTGAGATCCTGGAGCGCCCCTTTATCATAAGCTGTCTCTCAAAAAAGGCATGATACTTCCATAGATGTATATCCAACACATATATTTTTTAAGTTAATTAATTTTCATTCAGGGAAGTTTTACTATGTTTTACTATGTTTACATTAGCAGGAAGATCACCTGCAATAAACATTCACTATTTTCTTCCTAAACCTGATTTAAAGATGATGATAACAGACAAAAGGATATATGTTACTAAGCAACCAAATATAACACAGCTAAGCTACACAAATGGTGGCCACACCAGATACTGACTGGTTTTTGGACCCACCCGGACACTCCCAATACAGTAAAACTGCACATTTTAGAGTGCCCTTCTATTGTGGCCAGCCTAAGGCACACCTGTGCAATAATCATACTGTCTAGTCACCATCTGGATATGCCACACCTGTGAGGTGGATGGATTATCTTGGCAAAGGAGAAGTGCTCACCAACACAGATTTAGACAGATTTGTGAACAATATTTGAGAGAAATAGGCCTTTTGTGTACGTAGAAAAAGTCGTAGATCTTTGAGTTCAGCTCATGAAAAATGG